GATTGGTGTACTTCAATGGGGTGACCAGGAATGAGCTAGTCTTTGTCAATATCTATAGCTCTTTTTTTCTGGGGCTATTCAGTTTTTCCAAAGATGAATCCTCTAGTCTCCTAGCTGGAGGCACAGTCTTGGTTGCTGACATCAATAGCAGAGCACAGGAGCGCAGGCTGGTGTTACCACCACTCACTATTCAACATGCAGGCTTCCACTTACCCTGTTCTCAACCTCTTGTCTCTCTCATTCACTTTCTCTACTATTCCTGGTCTCCTAAGCCCTGATTCTCAACATCCACTGTTCCTGGTCATCTCCCTGGTGGGAGAGGTCTGTGAGAGAAAAGAGTGGTCACCTCGCTGTGTGGGATAGAAGGAGGTACTTAGAGTCCAACTTCTCTGTGTACAGACATTCAACTAATTGCCCTTGTTTTCTGGCCTGTGTCTCACTCATACTTTCCACGGTACCGGTTACCTTCGAGTTCTAACCTGTCTGGGGTTCAGTGCGGCAAACCGACTTGCTTCTCACTGCTATTTTCCTTGGCAGGTGCGTAGATTATCACCTAAGCTGTTCAGCTATGCAGTTAACTGCTCCTCTGCTTTCCCTCAGTCATATAACATATACTCATCTCTCACATTTGCTTTAGTTTCCTGATTCTTGGTGTTTGTTTTTTGCCCTTGTGGGTTTATGTCTCTTTTATTCTTTTACTATTGTTTTCATGGTATTTGTGAGGGGAAAGAGACAGAGGAAGGCAACAGGCTTAATTAGAGGCTATCAATCCTGCTGATGACATTTAACTAGCACTGTTAATAAGGAAGGAGAGAAGAAATTAATATTTATTGTCTATTATATGCCAGACACTAGTTTACCAAAAATTTAAACGGCAGGTATCATCTTCATTTTTCTGATGAGGATACTGTAATTTAGAAAAATTAAGTGACATGTAACCACTAAGTGAGGAAGCGGTCTGGTGTTCACCCCTGGGTCTTTCTAGGCCCTAAATGTGTCACAAGAATCAAGGAAGTCATCTGTGTTCACCAAAATGAGCTGGACTAGAAATGGAGAGCCACGGGCCTCTTACCTACTCCTCATGCTCAGAACAGGCTGGTAAAACAAGCACATACCTTTTTCAATCCACTGTTCAAAATCAACTGGATCTTTAGCTGTGGTCTTTTCGATCTTTAAGGTCCGCACTGATTGTAAATCAACAAAATAAATAGTTAGTTAGACAACTGACTCTGTGTTGTTGCCCCTAATTTTTCCCCCTCAGCCTGAGACCGTCAGGCATTGGTAGGACTACCCAGAGGACCAGGATGTGGAACACTGTGTTCTGGAAGTTACTCACTCCGTAATAAAACTCTTAGGGATTTTTGCCATAAACCCCTAAGCCTCAGGGCCTAAGGTAAAATGTACTTTTGTGTAACTATGATCTTATAAATGTTTGCAACCGTACAACACAGAGCTTTTTTGGGTCTGTTTCATTGTTTTAGAGATAGGCTCTCGCTCAGGCTGGAGTGTAGTGGCATGATCATAGCTCACTACAGCCTTGAACTCCTTAGTTCAAGCAATCCTCCTGCCTTCGCCTTGAGAGTATCTGAGATTATAGCCATGTGCCACCATGCTCACCTTATTTTTTTTTTTAATTTTTTTGTTGAGATGGAGTCTTGCTATATTGCACAAGCTAGTCTCACACTCTTGGCCTCAAGTGATCCTCCTGCTTCAGCCTCCCAAAGTGCTAAGATTACAGATATTAGCTACCACACACCACCCTAGAAGAGCTTTTTAAAATTTGGTATCATCCATATTTTTGGTATATTACTACTAATAAAAGCACTATTGATGGTCTTGCTGTAAACTTTTTATGGAGAGCCTATGATGAGTCAAGCATATTTATTCACTCCTCTTGAGTATGACCTTATGAGTAAAGTATTATTAACCTACTTTACTGACGAGAAAACAGGCTTAGAGAAGCCAGGCAAGGTTTAAATGATACGCAGCTAGTAAGTGCCAGAGCTGGAATTCAAACTTAGGTCTGTCTGACTCTGGAGCCTCTACAATGACTGACAGGGGAGGGACTTGCCAGGAATGCAGTCATCTTCCTCCTGCCCTGCTTATTCTTCACTGTCCCCAACCCAGTCTCTATCACTCCAGATCCTTCCCCTTCTCTGTCCCGTTCTGTGCTGTGAGGGCCTGAGCTCTGTGAACTCTTATCACCTGGACTCACTGACCCCTGGGTTCTGATTGGATTTGGCCAATGGGAGGCACACAGAGGAGACTGAAGGGAAGTAGGAAAGTGAGGTCAGGCTATTTTATTTCCAACCCCCACCCTGCTTTGATGCCAAGTAGTCAACAGTCCCCGTAAGCCTATGGCTCCTGGCCCACATGCTCTTCTGCACAGGCTGCTCCCACTGGGCTCTGATAATACCATTTCCTTCCCTGGTCCCATGGGTGGTAGCAGCTCTGTGCTAGAGCCAGTTCCTAGGGCCTCATCATCCCTAGCTTGTTCCCTTACTCCGGGCCATAATTTTATAAGCAATTCCATCAATAAGGGCTGTTCATGTGAACCATCTGGGATGTATTCTGTGTGTCACGATTTTGTCTGACACACTTTATCCTTAAATAAACAGGCCAGGCATAGTGGCTCACACCTATAATCCCAGCACTTTGGGAGGCAGGAGGATGGCCTGAGGCCAGGAGTTCAAGACCATCCTGGGCAACATAGTGAGATCCCATTGCTACAAAAAAATTAACAAATTAGCCAACATGGTGGCACGTGTCTGTAGTCCTAGCTACTCAGCTAAGGTGGGAGGATCCCCTGAGCTCAGAAGTTCCAGGTAGCAGTGAACTATGATTGTACCACTGCACTCCAGCCTGGGTGACAAAGTGAGACCCTGCTCCTAAAAATAAACTAAAAAACACATACAAGGCCTGAGTGTGGTGGCTCCCACCTGTAATCCTAGTACTCAGAGATGCCAAGGCTGGTGAAATGCCTGAGCTCAGGATTTCGAAACCAGACTAAGCAAGAGTGAGACTCTGTCTACTAAAAGTAGAAAAACTAGCTGGGGTTGTGGCAGGTGCCTCAACCTAAGCCCCAACTACTTGGGAGGCTGACACAAGAGGATTGCCCAAGTTTGAGGTTGCTGTGAGCTATGATGATGCCATGGCACTCTACTCAGGGTAACAGAGTGAGATGCTGTCTCCAGGAAAGAAAAAAACAAAAATAAAAACAAGCAAACAAACAAAAATACATACAGTTAGAATGCTGTTCCAATGGAAGATTCTCCTCCTAAATCCCTCGGAAAATGCCAAAAGAATCAAAACTATTCAGTGTGAATAATTAGGATTACCCATTTTTATTTTATTTTTATTTTTTTTGAGGATGGTCTCATTTTGTTGCCCCAGATAGAGTGCCATGGCATCATAGCTCACAGCAACCTCAAACTCTTGGGCTCAAGTGATTCCTTGCCTCAGCCTCCCGAGTAGCTGGGACTATAGGCGCCCACCTCAATGCCCAGCTAATTTTAGAGACAGGGTCTTGCTCTTGCTTGGGCTGGTCTGGAGCTACTGAGCTCAGGCAATCCACCCACCTTGGTCTCCCAAAGTGCTAGGAAGAAAGGCATGAACCACCATGCCCAGCCTTGGTATTCCACTTTTAAGCAAGAATTTTACAGAGAGACCCAGGCCAAATATAATCTAGAGTAAAGATGTCATGGAACCTAGCATCTGGCATTCTGGCTTCTCAGGTTCATAATAAGGCCTTTAGCCAAAGACTTGCACATAGTAAACTGCATGGAAATTATTATCCGTTTTGGAAGAGTTTCAAATTTGCAGCTTCTGAGAGGCTAATTGAGCTCAAGGCACTTAACCCACAATCCTCACTCTCTCACTCCAGCAATAAAACTGGATTCCAAGCTGTAAAGAAAAACCAGAATTTTGCCAAAAGTTTACATATGTGCTTTCTGACTATGGAAAAATTAAAGAATGAAAATTAAAGTATGCGCCTCACCTGGAGCACCAGAAAAATAAATAAAGAAAATTAATGTTGGAGGTTGCTGTGAGCTGTGATGCCACAACTCTCTACCCAGGGTGACAGCTTGAGAGACTGTCTCAAAAAAAAAAAAAAAAGAAAGAAAAGAAAATTAATGTATGATTTGCTTACCGAAGTAACTTTGGATTATAAACCTTTCAATCTTCACATGTTTGTGAAAAAAAATAATAAATTCCTGGGGAAACATTCCTGTGGTTGTCCAAAACGTTTCTGGATTCCTGTTGTTAATTAAAAAAATAATAAGAAGAAGAAGAACCAAATACTCAAGAAATTCTAATAAGTACCTATTTTTAAAAAATAAATGACTACTGAGTCCTTACAACTCCTTTCTGTTAATTCTACCCCTAATCTTTAGCTAACTTTAATGATCCTTCTTTACTACACCAGGTCCTCTTTTCTGAAGTACAAACACACAGAACTGGTGTCAGGCCTGTCTAAAACCTTCAGTAGTCCCTTACTGACTATAAATCGAAACTCTTCAGAACAGCATTTAAAACGGTACAATCTGGTTCCGTCACTCAAATGTCTTCTCTCTCATCACTGCAGTCACACTGGGTCACTCAAAATTCTACAAACATGTCAGGCAGGCTCATGCTTCTGTAGACCTTAGTTCATGAGGTTTTCTTGACCTGAAAAACTCTTCTTCCCCTTGCAAAGTTTATTCACTTTGGTCCTATCTCTCTAACCCCAACAAATCAAAATCACTTCCTTCCTCTTCTGCAAATGTCTCACACTCAGCCTGTCTTTCTACATCTGGGCTTAAAAATCTCTTCAGTTTTTATGCTCCTGCTAGATGCTGAGTTCTTTGAGTCCAGCCACTCTCTCTTACTCATCTTTATATCGCTACAACTACTACA